GTCAGCATGCCACCGTGCCAATGCCAACATGCAAGTATGACACCATGCCGATGTGGTTGCGACAATCCGCCAGACATATTAGGAGACAAACTCAAACTTTAGACAAGACTCCGATAGTGTCCAGTTATCTGGGGAATACAAACACTCACGCTCACACAAACACGAGCACGTCCAACAGATTTGAAGAATGTATGAGAACACGCTAAAAATGTTGATTTCGAGAACTGCATCGGGGACTGTTGTGGCTGGAACCCAAAGTGTCAAAACCTGAAAAGGCGGAAGGACCCTGTAGTCAGTCGGAACTTGTTCACGCTGCGTCCGATTCACATGTACACTGACTCCCGAACCGCCTTTCTAGAAAAATATGTGCAGTAAATAGAAAGCGGTCACTGTGTTTTACCTGTTCGTGTCTAGTCTAGTAGGGAAACTAACCCTTGAATTTGACACATCAAAATCATGCCAACAGCTGGCTATATAGGTACATAAATCTGGTTGTCTGCATTTCCAGGGTCCCCTCCTACCTGGGTCTTGTCCACCTTAATGGCGAGTCGGGAAGAGCACCGATCCCCCGGCCGTTGGAGTTTTTGGTTTCTTTGTCACGCTGATCGGTCACTGCGAGTGCTCATTGGGCGGAAAGAGTCTACGTACCGTTGTGCTGAAAGAACACCTGCACAGCGGTTGCATGGCAAACAGATCCAATAGCATACAGCACTTTGTGGAAACAGTATGAAACAGTGACATATTCTTTCGGTCGGTGGTCCTTGGTTCTGCCAATTCGATCCCCACCCGAAGTGGCATTGTTTGGTGGAAAAGTGGAGCCCTTCCCTCTTCCTAGTTCCTCACATGTTGGTTGTCGATGTGTACTTGAAGTCTAGAGTCTAACTACTCCATGTTTGCACAACGGTGAACAAACAAACAAACAAACAAACAAGCACTGGAATCCCTTGCCCGATACGAGTTATATCTGTACTAAAATCATTGATTGATGTTGATCCGTTGAAAGCCAACATACACAAGAATGTAGTTTTTGTGAGTCATGTGAGTGCAAAATATGGGTGTTACATATGTTTTGTGTGCATGTATGTATGTATGTATGTATGTATGTATGTATGTATGTATGGATGGATGGATGGATGGATGGATGGATGGATGGATGGATGTGCGGGTGTATGCAAGTATGCGTGTATGCATGCATGCAAGGATGCATCCATGAATGAGTGAATGAATAAATCAACAAATGCATGAAGGCATGAAGGCATGTATGTATGTATGTATGTAAAGTTTTGTATTGTATTGTATTGTTTTGTTTTGAATGGAATGTCATGTAATGTAATGTAATGTATGTATGTATGTATGCATGTATGCCTGGATGGATGGATGGATGGATGGATGGATGGATGGATGCATGCATGCATGCAGAACGAAGAACACAATGCATCGAACAAATTCTCGGAACACAGGGTCATGAGGTGTCTTTCGGCGTGTGCTGTCAGTTGTCAGGCAAATTGGTTTTCGCACATTGGTCCCTACAATGCCTGGACTAGCATGTCTATGCAAGGGCTTTGGTGAGTTCCCTTATGTGACACAAACATGTGAAAGAAAGTTTGCACAGCTCACCGGTCCTTCCTTGGCCTGGGCCTTTGTCCTCAGAAAGCATGTCAGGAGCTTCGGAACATGAGGGGTCTGTCTCCAATGTCTCGAAGGAAGAGCTTTTGCCAGATTGAAGGCTGCCAAGCACAGGACCCCACATAACAAAAATGTCTTTGTGGGCAAAGCGGCTACCATAAACATCTGCAACGACGCGCTTGGCAACCTGCAGCGCCTTGCAGCAGCACCAGCACCCAGGCTCCAGAGCGCACACTGCCATAGACATCGACTAGCGGCATGCAGCAGCACCAGCAGCTAGCCTAAGCGCACACACTGGCGACTGGCGTGCGGCACCAGCACCCAGGCTCGAAAGTACACGCTGCTATAGACATCTGGCAGGACACCCTGCAGCGGCTCTCTGCAGTGCCTTGCAGCGCCACCAGCATCCAGGCACCAAAGCATAGACATCTGGCAGTGTGGCAGAAACACCCTGCAGCGGCACCAGCAAAGCCCACACGGCCATACACGTCTGGCAGCGGCACTCTGCAGCTGCACCCTGCAGCGGCACCAGCACCCAATCTCCAAAGCGCACCTCTTCCTATGTATATATATATATATAAATACTTGAAGTAAGAATCCCAACAGCACTATCTGGAAACAAACGTTGACGGTTTGGTTCTCGAGGACTTTGTGGAAAAACTGCCGGGGCTGTGATGCAACCCTCAGTGAAGTGCATGGAAGAGGAAAGCCCTGGAAGTGGACTCCTAGAGTAAACTCTCAAATGATCTACGTACTGCAAGTGAAAAGGCTTGCTTGTGGCGGTGGCTTTGCCTTTCAGTGATCGTTCAGCGCCGCTTGGCTCTAAACCGCTCTAAACTCAGGCAGATCTTACAGTGATGCAGCGTGCGAGATTCTGTACATGACTCTCGCGACTGCTTGCCCGTGGAGCATTTGTCCTTTCACCACACAAGTCAGTTCATTTCATTCACAATGTCTCTCGTAATTGCTTCAAGGATTTGATGTCTCTTCATGAACGAAGCCTCCCACAATATCTCAGGTGAACCTGGTCTGAAACAATTTATACAGTACTGCATCCGCAGCGAATCTTCACCTGTAGATACGTTTCAACATTTCCTGGGAAAACATGTTAATTACACAAGTTGAAGCGAGAACCTCCACCCCACGTGGGGAAGAGCCCGATGTTGACGGGTTGTTCAAACGTCTGAAGCTTCCAAGACATACCACGACATCAGTTAGGCAACGAGACCATGGACCCGTCTTTCTGCTGGAGAACATCTTTTGCCTCAACTGAGCCCCCTGTCTCGGTCTGGGCAGTGCAGGACTGTGTCAGGCGGAACTCGCCCCCCTAATTGAGGGTCTTCAGGTCCAGTTCGGTCAATGGGTTTGCAGAGATAGGAAACTCCAGTCCCCTCAAGAATGAATTGGCTGAGCATGAACTAGTGATCCACATTCTAATGACGCATCCTCCTTGACCTCTTGACCTCTTTCACCTCTTTGTGTGACGAATCTTCGGAACGTGTTCTCCTCCTCTCAAGCTGCTCCAAGTCTCGCAGCTACCACGACAGAGTTCCGCTCCGCCCTGCCCGCACGGCTCAGCGGCTCAACGAAGGAATGGGAAAATCCAGGCCTCAGCGAACGCTGAATCTCCAGTGGATCCTGCACAAAGGGCGCGTAGATGCTACAATGCTACAAGTGCCAAAAAGGGATCCAACTCAGCAAATTACTTTGTATGCTCTAAAGGAGCGATAAAATCCCGCAATCTAAAGGAGCGATAAGATCTAGCAAAACTTGCACGGAACATGATGGAACAGGTAATTCCTGCACCACCTGCCATGCACATGATAACTCTTTCAGATGGTTGTCTAGAAACCTCTAGGTACTGGCAGACTCTTCCCACCGATGGATGTGCTGAAGCTGGTAAACTGGGCTGAAATAAGGTGGATACCTGGGAATCTGGACGAGTCTTCAGCAAGTCGTCATTACAACCAAAGATGCCTGGCCACCTGGGATCAACATGGATGAACCGTTTTTGTCCGTGGAGATGCTGTAAACATTGTCGAAATGACATCTCCAGTCGGAATAGATTGACGCCGGACACGATTGGATCGCATGTCCGCAATGTATAGAGAATAAATATATAGATCCAAGTTGATGAATGGAAGACTCCCAAGGCTTACACCAAGGCTTACATATTGGTTTCAGGGCTCCTGAAGCACTTCCACGATAATATACTGCGCACAAGTACTCACCATCCCACCGATTTCCAGCGGCTCTCTAGTCCTCATCCCTACCACACTCGCTACCACACTCTATCTCTTGAAGGCACTTGCACCCCGTAGTCAGATCCTTTCCTGTGCGCAGTTATTCCGTTGGGCACCCCGCCACTACTATGAGGCTGATGAGCAGGAGCCAGAACTGCGCCACGGCGCCGCCGCTCCGGTAAAACCCGCAAAACCCGTTCGTGCGAGGCGATCTTTTCAGACCGCGTGTGACGGCAAGAACCAGGAATTGGGGTAGTGTGGACCTTGCCTTGGCATAAACTGGTAGGACCACTATGGTTTATTAAAATTACTTAAATACGATTATCAATATTACCTGATAGTCCGGTTTGCGAGTGTTCCGTTCCTCTTAGATCGGGACTGTGGACTCAGACTTCTCAAATCGGATGAGCCAACACGAGCCGACGTGGATCGCCAGTCACTTGCGGGACTCGGATAGCCTTGGGGTAGTGTGGACCTATTGGGGATGTGCCAAATCCAATGCACCTCACAATCATCCAAATCCGTGGAAATTCTTGAAGGAGTCTCTGGAGGAGAAGATACTGGCGTGCTGGGGTAGCCATTTACCGGGGTTATAGTTATAGCTACTTTTCCAAACCCTCTGGAAGAGTATTGTGGGCACTGCCCCGGCCCCAAAAGTGTAGAACCTGCTAGAGGTGGTTTGACGAAGATCTGTCCTCCTTCGGAAGTCCAGCGTCGTCAACCTTCATTCCGGGCGTCGTCGCCCGGATTTGACCCCCGTGGACCCGCTGGTGAGGATGAAGTGACATGAGGTAGTCATTGCAAACGTCCACCTAAGAATCTCCCCTGAGATGCAAAGCTATGACCTTCTAGGATTGTTCAACTATTAACATAATTTAGTTATAAGCTACCTATATATAGAAGGGTTGTCCAAATAGCATTTCCTCCAACTGAACATTCGGCTCATTACGCGGCAAATCAGTCGGTCAACAGCGGGGGCTGCCCATGGTGGCACCCACGTGGCCCACGTGGCACCTGTTTGAGTCACCGGAGGTGCCCCTCTGCGACACATGTGAGATGGTCAAAAGTGGGGACTTGACATGACATGAGGACCTAAGATTTAATCCCACAAGTAAAGTGATGACTTGTTTCTGGTACTTCCCCCAAAGATTCGTGAGGAAGTTTTTGAGATTCGTTGAAGTTTCCCTAAAGTCCATCATGGCCCAGCATTCAACCTGAACAACTGATGTTGACTGTCCGAACGCCCCCCCACAGTTGTGGCACGTCCTTTTGGCGAGGCGGCGAGGCGGTCAATGGTCGGATCTGGTTCTGGCGAGCAGGTGCCACATCACAAATGGTCCTGAGCCACGCATCGCCGCTCCGTTTCAAAGTTGGACTCACCAAACCAGGATTGCAGTCGACAAGCTGCCAACAAGGGGATTGACCAAACGACTCAGTTTTGGGAGACCGTTGCTGGGTGCAGGAGTCTCCGGCAAAAACACAGAAGTCTATGTTGAGATGTCCCAGACTCTTTGATTCTGCCCTTGCAGTCTTTGAGCATCCCCCCCAAAAAAAGCATCCACGCTAGCACGCCCAGGGAATCCATTGGCCGGAGCTGCTGGGTCCAAAGTTCGCCAAATCCAACCACCCGGCACGCGCACACCGAGGATCTTCAGCTCGGATGCCAACATTCTTTGCTGTGCCTTGCGGCTCTGTTCGCCAGGTGGGGCCAGAAGTCGACTCTGATTGGATTCAGTTTTTGGTGTAGACCCTCTAGCAATCAACTCAATTAGCTGATTGTATGTGGTCTTTCTTTGGGTTCAGAATTGTTATATTGCCTGACAAGAGGGTTGCTCTGTAGTGCATGGTCATACAGTGGCTAGGGCTTGAAATAGGGAGTTTGCATGGAATGAAGGCCCAGTCACAAGTGACAAATGCAGGCCAATCAAGTGAAGACTAGGGAAGCCATTTTGTTGAAAGATTGTGATTGGTCTAGTTTGTATTTTGGAACAAAGGTTCAGGCCAAGCTATGAGTGATTTACTCTCTTTTCAAAGGAGCCAAATGAGACCACAATCACGCATGTCTTGTTTCATTCTTGGAAAAGAATGTTGCCGGACCAAACCCAATCATACATGTTGCTTGCTTCAACTCAATGGATTGGACAAACACTTCAAGATCAGTCACAAACACTGCACGTGCATTGCCTGGCTTAGGCCCGGACCCTGGAAACGACCTGGATGCCATAGCAAATCAATGCATGATCAACTTGCCGAGATAACCTGATTGCAGAACTCTGTTGCAAGGCAATGGTGTCACATAGGCACAAGATCCTAGCTAAACCCCAGTACCAGAGTGCATAGCACAGCTCCATACAGCTCCCCTGAGTTTGTCAGGCAATGAATATTAACAATCATTCAAATCCATGCAGGATATGGAATTGACGACGGAGGACCAAAGGAGCTACATGGTTCACTTCAGACTTTTCAGCAAAAAATGGAACATTGCGGAAACGGCTTTCATTGGGCACGGGCGCAGGCCCTGTGAGCCTGTGGGTCTGGGAGACCATCAAAGTAACCATCATCAACTCTTTTGGATGTAATCACACTGCATATTGACCAACCCTTGTTGGTCCGGAGTGCATCAGTTGTATGCGCATGTGCGCAAAAAGACCATGTGTAACGCTAGTGGCCACTCCGCTAGTAGTGTTGACATAGGATTAACCAACCTCCCCTTATCAATCAAGCCCAGCTCGAGCCACCAATACTAAACAAATTTAAAGCCTAGATTTCCACATTGGCATCACTCTAACGTGTTTCTTTCCGTCGTCACGAACGTACTTATTGTATTAATCAAGCCCAGCTGCTCCAGAAAACAAACATAAAATAAACATATAAAATTTGGTTTGCCCATTATGAACAGTAATTATGTGCTATTTACCTTTCTTTTTGGTCCATGGCTCTGATCTATCAAATCTCTTATCAAGCGGAGCTCTCATGGTTCTGACTCTCGAGAATCCCATCAACCATCCATCATCAGGTCCAGGTCATCACCTTTATTACGTTTATTAGGGGGATCTGGTCTCCAACTCCTCCAATCTGAAAACCATGTTGACCTTGTTGACCTTTGAATCCGACGTCCACATGACCGAAGAGCGGGGTTGATGAACCTCCACTCAAACCGTCTGATGGCAGAATCGCTTGGAACTCCCAGCAACCAGTGCTTCCACTGTACCCTCTGTGGCTTTCCGCGCGAAGACCGGACGCGCACATCGGATCGCCTGGACGCGACGAGGTGGCTCATGGCATGCTGCCACCAGGTGGCTTGGCTGTAACTGCCCACCTGTCAGACACAATGGCAGGTGGAAGCTTGGCCCTCGGAGCAAAAAGTCAGCTGGAGTTACGGTATGTTACGGTAGCTGAGCAGCTGATGATGGACGAGATCCTGAACCATGTGGGTTCTTGACCACTTGGTAGCTGTCCAGACTGTCTAGCCATCCAATCAGATCTAATCTATATATAGTTTACATGGGACCTGGAATGAAGATTGCTAAAGTTTAGGTGCCTGTGGCATCCTTTGTTTTTCAACTGGTGGATAGTTGATAGTTGTATTTGCCCTTTCAGGCCCATTCATGAAACTTTTAAAGTTCACCCAAGTTTTTGTAGGTGTTGGAGCGACTTCTTTTCCAAAATACCCTCTTGAAGACCCTATTGGTCTTCAGACCTGTTGGTACATTATACGGCCCAACGTAGAAATTCCAGCTGTTGTAGAAGCGACTCGACCCCCCGTTGTCCTCTGGCCTGCAATTGAACAGGCACAGAATGGTGTTAAATTGTAGTTTTGAAATGTCTCAATTCCTTTGCTCGGTGTGTTGCTAGCTGTCTTTGAATGTCCTTGAATACTCCTTCGAGGTACTTGGCCTCTACTGATCTGACAAAAGCAACTCCCAATGGCGTGAATACATATCAAACGAGTTAGCAAGTTTGCCATGTCGACTCTGAAAAAAAACAAAGAGTCCGCCAAGACGAGTGCGCATCATGGGCCCACAAAACTGGTATCCACTGTTTGGAGGCACGCTGTTGGGTCTACTGTTTGGAGGTTGAGTCATCAAACATTGGTCATTTCCTTTCTACTGCGTATGATGTAATGTTCACCTACCATTAATGAACCATGTGTCAATAATAATGAGGCCTGCCAGGATTTTGCAATACTACTTTTAACTGCGCCAACATCCAGACCCCAAAAATTGAAAAAGAAATTGACGAACGAATTATAAACCTGAGACAATAATAATTATGTGTTTGGCCTGCCAGGATTTTGCAATACTACTTTTAATTGGTTCTTGCCTTGTGCTTGCCCTTTTACTTTTAAGTTATCCTATCTTCTTCTTATTATTATGTTTTTTCTTCTTCTTTCTTCTTTCTTTTTCTTCTTTTGTGGAATCTGTATTTTTAATATTTGCCCATCAGATTTCCAAAAACATTGGCTCACCAAAAGCTTGAGGTTTCCTTATTCAAACCCTAGGCCCTAAGCAAATACAAAAAGTATCTTCAAAGGGTACCCCTTTAGACTTCCACCCCTGAAATTACAAACAAACCCACAACAATCAACCCCCCTGCAGCCCTGCTGGCTTATCCTTGCCTTGTGCTTTTCTTTTTTCTTTTACTTTAAAAGCAAATGAAAGACCCTCTGCCAAATCCCTCTGCCAAAAGGCCTGGAGGTTTTTTGTTAAGGTTGAGAGTTTTGACTACCCCGGAAAGCAATAGAAATAGAAATAGTTTTTTTGTTTTTATAGGGGGGGTGGGGGAGGGTTTACTAATGAGGGGTTAACATTACATGATATAATGATATATTCGATTTGATCATGGTGCATCAACAGGATTCGGCCATTGCACAGCTGTGCGGGTTGCGTGCCCAACATGCGTTGGTTTCGTAGGTTTGGAGTCCGGAGAACTGGGACCAGTCGAACAAAGCCCAAAAGGTGCCTTGGATCCGAAGTTGATCACCAACAAAAACCTCCCAAATCCATCGAACTCCACTTGAAATAACCGAAGTGAAAGCGGCGATGTGGCCCTTTCGAATCCCTTTCGGCCGGTGATGGTGCCCTCCTGGGCGTCCGAGGAGACCAGGTCCGTTTCCAGGAGACTCAAGTGCGTCCTTGGGACGGTGAAAGGAAACCGCTGCAGCTGCAGAAGCTGCTGAGTCCTGGGTGGATTGGGTGGATGTCAACCTATTGACTTTAATTGACCATCTATTGACCATCTGGATGCCTGTCGAGCCTTGATCTTCAAGTGGATGACTTAGCGTTCGCAAACAGCAAACTGGGAGGTGGTGAGGTTGTCTGGCATTGTAAGGGCAGGATCACCCATCACACGACCAATGCGCACGGATATCTGGGATATCCCCTCGATTTTGTGTCCTTTGCTTGTGCCGTTTGGCCTCAAGACAATCTGGATGTCAGGCCTTTTGGTGGGGAATGTATGTTGATCCAAAACGCGTAGGTATCTCAGTATGCAAAACTAGTGGATGCTCGGGTGGGGAATTTAAAATTTGGCTTGCAAATATGTATACCATGCAGAGTTTGCAGCATTCCTAAGTGGTGAAGTGAACTTGCCTAATGAACAGTAGGCAACATTGGAAAGGGGGGAGAGCCGGATTCCCACAACGGCTTGGATACCTCATCTAAGGGGCACCAGCTATCTCCGTCTGAGGACCCAGGCCATTGCAACCTGGCCAAGACAAGCATGGTGAAGTTCTTCGGATTGGAATCAGGAAGACAATGGGAACTGGGAACCGTGTGTTTTTTCTTTACGCGAACAGTTCTTAGCTGCAAACAGCGACCGTTGCAGAATTACTCTGCGCCCCAAGAAGTGCCCGAGGTAAAGGAGCGACCAAGAAATACAGATCTTCGGAATCAGAATCACCTGAAACAAAGTCATGAGGCCAACACTGAAAACCCCTGACTATAGTATATACTTAGAACGCTATTAGGTTGGAGGTCATAATCGTTCTTACGAGTAGGTTGGACGCCATCGCTATTAGGTTGGACCAAAAAAGTGTTTCGAAAGAATCAAGTCGACTCTCCATGTTCGCAGGTTTCATCTGGCAGACCAAACAATCGTCTCCGAGAATCATCTCCTCATGGTCACCCCATGGTCTGAACCAGACATGGCAGATTCTTAGCAAACAAATCTGTTCCATTGCCAATTACGTTGTTTGGTGCCTTATAGACTATATACATCTTTTGTGTGAATGAACATTACACTATTGTACACCAAAAGAAAAAAAACACGGCAACGCTTGCCGGCAGGGCAAATTGAGGACGGAGGACCACAGCTGTCCCTTCCCACAAGTTTGCAGCCTGATCATGGCTCTGGGTGAGCTTCTTTGATCGTTGGGTATTTGTTTTTGAAATAAAATGTATTAATGGTGGAACAATAACTGGCTGGCTATGGTTTCAAGTTGCTTCTAAAAGTGGAAATTGACTCGATTTACTTAACTTCAACAAACCCAAGTTGCTCTTAGAGGGGAAGCAAGCTGCTCCAAACCACCAGAGATTGAAGCAGCAACATGATGTTAGAAAGCTAAAGCAGCAAGGACAGAACTCGTTTGACCGTCTGACAAAGGATCATCGCTCGCCTTTTGTGAAAAAAAAATTCTCCAGTCTGAGGGGTAGGCAGCCCAAGAAACACTGCGTATTGGTTCCTGTTTTACTGCAAATGGGCTAAAGGATCTTAAAGCTATCGCAAAATATGCGTATTGTTGGGGTCTTCGCATGGGGACCCTTGACATGGAAAGTTGACCCCAAAAGCATTCGATGAGCTCTATAAACCCAAGCAGCCGGACGCATGTGCTTGGCTTTAAGGGAAGAAAATAAAAGTTGTACCTTGAAGAGAGTGTCATCTTCGCCTGCACACACTACACAATGAGTTTGTTGAGAGTCTCGCAATTCCACGATCCTGTCTTGCGCGGTCAAGTGAAGGAAGCATCTGAATAGTTGGCAAAATCTAAGTGTCGGAAAACATGCTGGCCGAATTCTGAAAAAGGAAACTCCTAAACACAGCGCTAGCTGCATAGTCTTGCTCTCTATCTATTCTGGTTCTATTTATGCTGGTCCAAAAAAGAAAATGCTACTTGACATGACAAATGTTGTGGTGCTCACTCACACACTCTGACACTGGTTTTCAGTTAACTCAATTTCCCCAGAAAAGGAATGGCTCAACGGCAAGGCGAAGAGTCCGATCGAATTGAAGGTGTTTTCAACAAAATGTTTGTGCGCATCTGCAGACTCGCGACAGCAGCGGACGAGCGGCGGACGGCAGCTGAAAGCTGTGGTGGGAAGCCTGTTTAGGGGAAGGAAGACATGAAACACCATGAAACAAACCAAAGGAGTGGACAGCGTGAGCAACAGTTTCCTGGCAGGTACACGGTCAGACGTCTCTGACCGCATCCCATGACATCACTAGCTTCGTTGGCCAGCGTCGTGATGTCATGCGCTGGACCCCTGCTTGTGAAACAGTGGTGAAGGTGAAGGTGGTGGCGAACCCTTCGGCACAGGGGTTGACACACACAGGTCGCCGTAATCGGCGCTTTTTCCTTTCAAAAACCGGCTGCAAACAATTGGGTTGTGTCCTTTTTGGACATAGAGCTTCACTAGCTCAGTGGCAGCAGCTTCAGCGCTTGAAGGTGGAAAGGTGTATGTGTTCATGCAAGTCGAATTAAACTGCTCAAAAAGCTCAAATCGCACTGCTTGAGGAAACATTCGCAAAAACATGCAAGACCATGCAGAAGACTGTGCACACTCTGCGAACTGGCAGGTCCCGTGTTTAGGCCCGGCGGCCGTTGAGGCAGTTAATTCGGTGGAAGTGGAGGTGAATTCCAGTGAAATTCCGGTGAGCGGTAGTGAGTTCCGTTAATGATTTCCCAATGAAACAGTGCCCCAGTGACGGGGATCACACTCAGCACCCGAGTGGGACGGCTGAGCGAAACACACTCTGACACTGGTTTTCAGTTAACTCAATTTCCCCAGAAAAGGAATGGCTCAACGGCAAGGTGAAGAGTCCGATCGAATTGAAGGTGTTTTCAACAAAATGTTTGTGCGCATCTGCAGACTCGCGACAGCAGCGGACGAGCGGCGGACGGCAGCTGAAAGCTGTGGTGGGAAACCTGTTTAGGGGAAGGAAGACATGAAACACCATGAAACAAACCAAAGGAGTGGACAGCGTGAGCAACAGTTTCCTGGCAGGTACACGGTCAGACGTCTCTGACCGCATCCCATGACATCACTAGCTTCGTTGGCCAGCGTCGTGATGTCATGCGCTGGCCCCCTGCTTGTGAAACAGTGGTGAAGGTGAAGGTGGTGGCGAACCCTTCGGCAGAGGGGTTGACACACACACACACACATCAAGCACTCTGCCGAGGGGCTGTGAACCCACAACACCACTTGTGATGCAACATCCTACGCACATCCGCTGGCTCGTTCCTGAGGGTCACACGCAGCATTGCAGGATTTGATGTCCACGCGGATGCCTTGCATAGGCATCTCCTCAGATCAGCTCAGGTTAAAGATTGGGATATGTATATAAACCTATCTGATATATCATATATATATATGTATGTATGCGTGCAGGGATATATAGGTTTTTAAATATATATATATATATTACTTTATATAGCATATTGCTATATTAGTATGCTTATGTGGTTGTCTTCGACACGGCCCCACAAACAAACAGTTGCCTGTTTAGCAGTCACACTGCCAGTGAGCATCCTTTAGCAGGCATCCACTTCTAGCGTATCAACTCTTTTGGAACGGTCCAAGTCGCCTTGTTCTTCCCTACCGAGTCTGGATTGGGTCGCTCTGGATTGCGGGGCCGTTTTGGCGGACAAGCAACGTAGCTCCAATCATGTTTGTTAAAGTTAGTAGCTCCCAGAGTGCATTCCGCTGCAGACACTGAGCGTTTTCAATCCCTTTAAAAGGAAAAAAAACTACAAAGGCTCCTCAAATATCAACCAGGTTGGCCACTAGTTTCACCACCCACTCCCCGCCTTGGCGTACAACCTTGTGCACGCCTTCTGCCGAGGTGCACGGAGAGCTGTGAGCGCTGTGCTCCAAGAGCCACCCTGTGCTCCACGAGAAAGAAAACGCTCAGCTGCGCTCCACCCTTCTGGCACCCGCCCTGTGACAAGCTTTTGAGAGGAATGTCCCAAAAAGAAAGCAGAATCCAATTCACCTTTAGCAACTATAGGATTGGGTCATCTGCAGGGAGTGTTTTAGAACTTGAGAGAAAACAGAATGTCACAATAGACTTTGCAGCGCAAACAAATGTTTCTTCAGCGACACTCCTCACAAATGAATGTGGCAGTGGAATGTGACACAGCTTCTGAAGAAGTTCTAGCCGGTGCATCAACAAACTCCAAAGAGCAAGGCTTCATGGGCTCAAGGCTACTTATGAGTCAAGCTGTTCGGATCGTCAAGTGCATACTTACATATATTGCATATAATACCATATATTGTTTGATGATATTTAATGATGTGTTTCTTTATGCGGAACCAACACAGGAACAAATAAAGCAGAGTATCTGTGATGGCACAGGGCGATGGGTAATGTCTGGATTTCTTCTTTATATTCATCCACCATGCCCTGTTGACCTGAACAAAGTGTTGAAAAGCTCCATGGAATCTGCAGAACAGGTGCCGTGCCTTTTATCGGTTTCTCATGGTTTCGCCAATGCTGAATCATGGTTTCCTCCGGTGCTGTGCCTTTCACCCTTCGTTTTTCTTCTGCGGAAGCGCGGCAACAAAAAATGACCGCAAGATAGGGGCCTCTCGGCTGGTCGCGTGCAACGCTGCACGGTGCAAGAGCTGCGACTGAAAAACACCTGCAAGAGCTGCGCACAGACCATGACTCATGACCAAATCGATTGCATGTTCCTTTTTATATTTGTCTTGTGGCAAGAAAACGAAAGATTCGCATGGCCATGAACGGGCACCTCAAAGGGTGTGTGTGTGTGTGTACACGTGTGTCAGGTCACACATTGACAACGTTGGCAAGAAAAATATACAACCACTGTGGGAACCACGGTCTTCAATTTTGACCACAACCAGAAATACTGGTTTGAATATATCAAAGGGTTGAATATATCAGTATATATATATATATATTTTTACAATATACATCAATATACTGATGCAGCTAGGACTTTGCAATCCCGAAAAGAACGGATCAACCCTACCACTGGAATTTTCTCACGTGGCCACGCGAACAAGGCACCCTGGCGAGGTTCGGACCAGTTCCACGGCCTCGTTGTTGATGGAACATCCACATCGCACGCGACCATTCCACCTGGGACGGTCCGTTCCGACGGAACCCCCCCCCGGGGGGTTCGGACGTGTGCTGATCGCGGGTTGGAAGCTCAATTCCTGGCATTGGAAGCCACTCCATGTGTCGCTGTATTCAAATACGACTCTACGTCGATTGCACACTCTGTCGGAGGAAAACAACACACTTGCATACAGTTGTTATGTTCATGATTTCTGTTGCCAGGCACATTGAACGCAGCTGTATTATTTGGAGGTAAGTCGTTGAAGAAGTGAAATCGATAGATTCAGATGAGCCCTAAGAAGCTGATGCAAAACCAAACCCATGGCGAGCACTCAGAATCCAGAATGCACCAAGCAAACAGCAGCATATATATATATATGCATAGCATAACTTCAAAAGTTGATTCTGAACAACTCGAAGCAACAACAAATGCATGACAACTGAGAAGACTGGCTCATTGCGGGTGCTGGATGTTGCCCCTGCGAGGAAACAATGCCAGTAGTCACCGAGGGGCGCATGTGCCAAAGTAACCACACCAACAATGACCAACAATACCAGTCAAGCGAAAGCGTCCCAACAAGGGAAGGAATGGAATATTTATGATATATATTATGATATATCTACAGTATATAGTCATCAGTAGTCGACGGTAGTGTTTATAAGCCACAACCACTTGGAATTCCAAACCAGCACCGGTATCTGCTGCCGTCCCGCTCACGTAGGGCTCCCCACGCAGGACGTTTCCTCGGGCATGATGCAGTCGTTGGCATTGGGTCGTGGCCCAGCACGACCATCCTGGGAGGACCTCAGATGTACTTCCTATTACATCATCAGCTACCAAGTGTTGACCGGAGGGAACCCAGCCAAGCGATACTTCCGAACATCTTGATTTTCCATGGGGATCGAGATCAGGGAACATCTTCACCCACTGCAAGTGTTTTTGTGCTGCGGAAGTCTGCTGAAGTAAGTTGACTGAGAGGGGATGCGGTTTGTTGCTGGTGCGCCAACCCAAGCAACCGCTGGAACATCAAGAATAGACTTATAAAACACTGAGGACATTAATTATGCCTACTTAAACTCATGACGAGTAGCCAGCAATAGATGAAATACAATGAAATGTAATGAGACATCAAAAAGAGTTCTGAATACACCAAGAAGGCATCAACCCCAATTAGCCCCCAACGATGAAGGATAGAGGAAACATAAGGTAATCTCAAGAACACTCCAGGACATGCTATGGACACCATCGGAGTTGCACTCCAAACACACCCTGCCATTGCCCATGTGGACCGTCTTGTTCGGGCTCCCGGCCACCAGCGCCGGCATTCATCAACCTGGATGCCAAGGCTACGCAGAAAGCGATTCAGCTCTTCCGCCTGCAACAGGGATGAAAGCGATCAGCAGCAAGCATGGCGGAGATGAAGGCCACGCAACAACGTTGAAAATCGGTCGTGCTTTGATTCAGGTCCAGTGCAACAAAATATTTAAAAGTTTACTGTAAATGTTGCCATCTCTTGCTTGTTTCAAGGTTAATCGTCATCGTCATCATCATCATCATCATCATCATCAAGACTTTGCAAAGAGCGTTAAAATGCTTCGATTATGTTCAACAATGACATATGCGACCCAAGGAAGCGTGTTGCGCAAGGGAGCTTACGACCATCACTCGCATGGAAGGTGTTGTCAGGCTATTTTCTCCGCCATTCTTCGTGGTTGCTCCGCTGTGTTTGTGGACCAGAAAGGAAGAGGGGCGCCCATTGAATTGAACAAGTGGTGTCCCAAGTGGACCCTCCAACCCACTGCAGCAAAGACAGAAAGTTCCTTTTCTCCTAGAATCGACATGAACCGACTAGAATCCACCACGAGCTCTTTCTGCGGCACCCAGCGTTTCTCAACGTGTTAACTATGTGAATCTATTTGAACAGACGACAAAAGTCTTTCGGTGGCAAGCCCGGTCAATCCAACTGGATCCATGTACTTTTGGACATCGGACACCGACAGTGTTTAACGTCCACCTGGAGGCAACAAACGTGTGGTGGCTCTCTAATCTAAGTATATCCAAGTCATACTATTTAGTCATAGTATGTCATAGTGTCACTGTGGATCGCTTGATCGTTGGCAGGGTTGGCCTTCCATTATGCCCGACCAGACCTGCACGCCCGGAGAGCCCCGCCTCCTTGAACTTCTTATCTCTCCGAAATCGTTCACGTTCGATCAGGCCTCAGCTCTGTACAGTTGTGGCAAGCCTTTGTTGCCATACATGTTCCAGATCAATATACCCGTGAATCAGTCTGTGGAAATGCTGATCTGCACAAATTGGAATGATTCAAACCCTGGATGTCCAGGCTACGAGACCCTCAAGAAGCGATGTCCACAGTAGATCACCGAACAGGCAGGTAGATGATGCCTGTTCAGTGAACACCCCAGCTCCTTAGAACATGTGGGATAACCAACCGATACGCCAATCCACCCCGGGGCTTGAATGGATCAAAGAGACGCCACTTCATGGAACTAGAATACGGACATATAGAAATACTGGAATTCCGACTTCGCCCAAGAAAAACAAACGGCCCAAACCCGAACCCGCAGGGCCCCGCTTGCACTCCGGCGCACGGCGCCCCGCTTGTTCTCGTGGCCGAGCTGCGGTTGGTGATCCAACTGCGCTTCATGACACTGCTGACCTGGTGAGTCACCGCGTCACACCGTCGCGATGGGTCGGAGGGGTTTCAGTGACACGTCGTAGTTGCCCGTAGGTGCCGGTAGCTTTTGTTTTCAAAAACACCACCCATCGTGTAGTGTTTTCACACTATATAGTTACTATAGTTCATGTTGTTGATTCGGATTCGTGTGGAAGAAAAGCACAAAGAAGACCAGTAGAAGTAGACTGAAAGAAAAGGTTCGCCTCTGACATTGTATATATCATAACTGCGGTCCATCGCGGATCGGCTATTGCAATTGCGTCACAGTCAGATGTCCACACCCCTTTGATCTTTGATTCATGAATTGAGGTTTGTGTCTTGTGGAAATCCGATCGCAAGACGTAGCACACATGAAACATGCGGGATGTTAAGGAGATGTTAAGGAGAAAGGGTTTCTCAATATTTTCGCACACGCTACAGGTGAAGTGGCGCAACTTTCCGTATGTCGGTGTAGAACCGACAAAGTGATACATTCCTATATGAGTTATGAATGTGTGTGCAATTATGTGCATACGTGATCATACGTGATCATACAGTCCTTTAATTGGACAAAAGTTTGGCCCATGCGCCTATATGCGTGCCAGCTCTTGACAAATTCGATCACTCCATGATCACGACCTGAAGTTTGTGTGTGTGGCACACCCTGTATCCAAGGGTTTTAAAGCTGGAGACACCTGTATTGCTTCTCCATCAAAGAAGCTGGCAATACATGGTGAGGATATCAGTTCCGGACGCGGAACTGACGTACCTGCTTTCAACACACTGACATCACTGGTCCGCCCTCCCGCTGTCTTTTTGCTTCCGTGGTGATTTTCGTGCTATTCCCCTCAACCAATTTCCAGCCGATTGCAGCCGCTTTGCAGCCGCGTTTGCACGTTTGCAACCACTGTTGAAACATCTACAATTCCCCTGACTCAGCAGCCTTGCCGTTCCAGCATTCCTTTCCTCGTGGATTCTCTTACTGAATGAGACTCTATCGAAGTGTGTTCACATGATGACTTTTGTACGGATCCAGGAACAAAAGCACCGTATGAACCATGTCCCAGCCCAGAATTGCTGAAGGCCCTAACATTCCCGCCAGTTTCTATTTCACCCAGCTTTCGAACAAATTGCAACAAAAAGTGCAACAGGTCGCAAATCCAAAAAAATGTAAAAATTTGAGATGTCCCTTTAGTAATGCACATGTCACATGTTGCCACTTAGTCTAGTAATGAATCTTGCATGTATAATCTTGTTGAATTCGAGATGCAGAGTTAGTCATGTTTTCGCGACTTCAAGCCGCCGGGACGACCGAACTCGCGGCCGACCAGATCTCCAGAGTGGGCTCCCGGCCTCGTGACCCTCCTCGACGAGCAGGTGGTGCGCACGGGGGCAGGGCCCGTGGCGACCATCGCTGGAAGTCCTTGGCAACAACGCCCTGGGATTCCGCAGGTGCACGCGAAATCAGAGACCTTTATTCTTTTAGTGGGATGAAGTTGGTGGACGCAAATAGTCAAGCTAAGCTAAGGTCCTCAAAAGCCATCTTCCATGCTTGTTTGGAGGGGTGTGTAGTAGTGCCCCACCCTATCGTTGATGAAAGAAGCAGTCCAAAGAACTGTAAGCAGCTTGCACAGCCCGACAACTCTTCCTTCAAGAGTAGACGACTGTCGATTATGGTCCAGTAAACTCGTCCTTCTGAAAACAACATAGGATGCATTTGGACCGAGTTCACGCTTCATCTTCAACCCTTGGGTCATGATATGCAATGATGGTGGCTTCACACGTGCGCGCGAACATAACACACACCAATGACCGAACAAAATCACGCTGTTTCGAGAGAAGACAGAACTCTATTTGCAGTTTGTTGCATCAACCACCAAGTAGGATGATGTTGTCGAACCTTTCATCATTGACATATTGAATATTATGGAGTTTGGGGATTTGCAGCACAGGGCTTCCGCTTTGGCAACAACGAACTGGATAACAACTCTTGGATTAAGGCATGTCTAAGACTATAATGGGATGTAGATCTATTCAACAGAAGCCAGGCACCCAAACCAGTGAAAGCTTGGACGTTCGGTCTCTTCAGAAAATGGAACACTTGAAACAAGTCAGAATGCTTAACACCTCTGTATACACTCTGTATGGTCCCAAAATGTACGTACATGTACGTACTTAATTACTTGATTTTTCGGACGGCAACATCAAACATCATAGTCATAATATCCATCTTCTCCCTAATTACTCCCACACGTGGAGATCTAATGGTTCGCCCTACCAAGTAAGGCTATAGGCTTAGACATAGCCCCAGGCTTCAGGGTGGACACCGGTGTCCGCCCCATCGGTCCGGTGGAAACCGCTCAGCTCCACGCCAACGGCGCTTGGGATCGTCCACCTCCACGCCCACGGTCCGCAGCAAGCGACGCTGGTGATCAGCCTGGCTTTCAGTTCTTGTTGGAGCAAACAATCCAAAAAGGCCTGCAGCCTGCGGCACCGAAAGAATTTTACACCGAAAGATTGGTAGGTTCCAGCAGATTCCGCAGAAATTCAAATTCTCTGACTTCCAGCTGTTCACCTTAATATCTGCTCATGATGGGCAGTTCATGTGCGGTCGGATGTCATCAGCCGCTAAAAGCAACCGAAGAGTCCAGCTGAGTGGTCGATACCCTCGGACTTGGACGACATTTAGAACCAGAAACATTCTACCTCTGGTTCAGACTGCCCAAGGACGGGTTTTTTGATCTTCCAAAAGGGCACTTTCCTGCACCGCCGGCAAGTGCCCGCGCCTCCTGGTACTGTCCTTTGGCCCGGAGGCGTTCGCGTTCGATTAAACCTGGTGGAAACCGAAGAACAACGATCGACCCCTTTGGCGGAACCAGGTGGCAAAGTGGACCAAGGTCTGAGTCATAGCCATTGATCCAAAGCAACCCCCTGAGGTTCGTGTTTCGGAATGTGGAGCGTGATGTATTTCGGTCAGTGTTTTTTCGTCAGGATCAGCGACCACCGAAACTGGAGCTCTCTGCGTGCGGATGCACGCCTTGCGGTTGCCCCCTTATTTGTCCACCGCCCACAACGCCAAACAAAACAATCCAAGCCAAAGAACACGTTGATGATATTTGATTATTCGTTATTCGTTGATTGTTGTTGGATGTAATCTGGCGCCCTTCATCCAGCTGCCTTTCTTTTGTGACGCTGCATAGTACTGTGGCTTGGACCCACTGGTGTCCCCAGATCCGCTCCCCGAGCAGAGATCCGAAGAGTATCGTGGCACGATGTTCCCATTCTGAGTGTCGATCTACTTGTCTATCTATATCTATTTGGGTCAAAACATGTAAAACAACATGCTGTGTATCTTGCATATCTTGCACCAGACCATGTCTAGTGAGTTCATGTGAGTCCAGTGTCTCCGCGATGTTGATTCGATAATACTATGTAGACAAAACCGCGCCCTATACCCAGTCTCCCAGTTGCGCAGCATCGAATAGCCTGCCATCTATAAGCCTGCGCTAAACAAACACACTGTCCTGGTTGTTCTAGTTTCTTCCAGGCACCTATATACCCCTTCGGCGGTACTTTCCATACTTTCCTGCAACCCGAGAGGCGATTGATGATCCACCCCTTGGAGAGGCCGCCCTGGCGCGAGCGACGCGGCCTTCGGGTTGGGTGACACCTGCATTTCCCGGTGTCTAATACGGGGTCTGCGGTCTACAGGTCATTAACGGTCAAAGAACGCCGCACAAATCCACATCTGGAAGGAAACGTGCTGGCTTGGAGACCCAAACATGTTTCCAAAAAGACTTGATAATACAGTATTTGGGGGGTCTCGAGTACTGCACAGTTGCTCTTTGAGGGCAACCCTCACACATCATGACAAAGCCCGCCTCTTTCTCCTTGGCATGCGCCTGGCAACGTTGAACGTCAGAAGCATCCAGTAGCCGGATTGTGAGGGTTTGCAGGGTCAAGTGTTCATGGGATTGCCAACATGAACTGTTCACCATGTGACCATGTGCATGCCCTTTCCACTAGCATCCATGAGACCTCATGGATCCTCAGGGGCTCGGTAAGCTCCTGCAATCCCACCTCAATCCGGCATGCCATTTCTTCATGAGGAACCATCTATGTCTGGCAGGTGTTTCTGACAGCCAAAGGCATTCCTATTGCTCTGCGCCACGGAACGAACTGGCGAGTACCACGCAAAATGATGACCCTCGATCTTCAAGGCGATCCATGGCGTCCTTCAATCTCGTGCCATCCTCACTCAGTCCACTCCATTCAGTCCCGGCCCCCTCCTCGCAGTCCTGAAGAGTCACTCCCTCGCGGTCTCTGGCCTTCACGAAGCCCATGCAAGAGCTCCAGGTCGCTTCATCGCTTTGAAGGCTTTCACTCAAGGAATCCCCTCGCCACACGGCCGAGACCAGCGTGGTTTCGGCGAGGATGATGAGCAATGACCAAAGAGCCAAAAAACCTGGAACCCCAAAGCACCTATTTGAGATGGCTATCTGCCTTAAGTCAGCACCAACAAATACAAGCCTCCGACTGCTGACCTGTACTGTATATTGCCAATATAGTATAACAAAATATATATATATATACATTGCAACATATTGCAACTATTCGCAACTGCATGTATATAATATAACGTTCTTTAAATGTCCCTATAGGTAAAACATATAAAACATGGCAAACTTATCTTTGCAGGTTCCTAATCCATTGAGGTCGCCACTCAGCAGGTCGTGGGCTCGTTGCCAATTGAAACCCTGCCAGGTTGATCGCTGCGTTCGACACGGGTGGAGATGGGTGGAATTTGGGCGCTCGAATGGGGCTATACTAGATTATTTGATATTATTTGTGAGTCACTAGTAAAGGATAGTAAAGGGCATTTCTACTACTAGCAAGAAGCTAGTTTTACTAGTAGCAAAGGGCATCGCTACGAACGGAGCAAGGCTGCTAGTATTTGTGAGTCACTGGTATACCATGGCCTATGGATGAATCATGATCCTATGGCCGCCACGATGAGCCCCGGGGGCTTTGGCCAGAAAGGACGGATGGTTCATCGGCGGTCTGAGCTCTGGAGCTCTGGTTTCTCCCGAAAGAAGCTACGGCCTATTAGGTGCTCAGACTGTTCTGCACACAGGTCTGGATCATAGGATCTTTGTAAATTACACTCAGTAGTTGGTCGGGACTCTCAAACTCCCAAAGCATGTTGGAATAGGGAAATGTCTGTCTATCCATGCTTCAGAATCAGCACAATAGACTGGCCTGCTCAGCTAAAGCTGTCAAAGCTGCTTCAACAGTGCGACAGAAAAAATGCAACATTCTGGCATACAAACAGTATACACCATCCCAATCCCCATGCCGTCAAGCCGGAACAAACCAGCGCATTGAACACGCAGTAACCCGCGGAACTGGCCCGGCCGCGGTGGTGCCACAGGCCACGTTCAGCGCTTGCAAATCTAGCTCCAATTGGTTGGCTGCAAGAGTCTCCTGCATGTTCCGAGCTCATGAGGAAGCGTGAATCCGCGGAGATTTGAATGGATTTGACGAATCCCCAGCTGGTCAGGGGCGATGGCTGATAGCTTGTCCAGAAGCTCGCAAAGGTTGGGCAGAGCGAATCAGATCTTCAAGGTCCGTCCCATCGAACTAAGATGACGTTGAGATTTTAGTTTTCGATAGTTTTTGGGATGTTTTGTGGTAACATGGAGTAATTCTGCCTGTTTGAAATCACCTCCTTTGTCGAAGACGGGTCACACTCAACCACTTCCAGCGCCCAGTGGCCGCCGTGGCCTCGCGTGGCCCCCCTGGGCTCCAACAAGAACGCCAGGTTCTGCTGCCAGCAGCTCGCGGCGGAGGGCGCCGTTTCAGCCGTTCTGTCCCGTGCGGCGGCCGTGACCAGCCAGGCATCCACAGGGTTTCCAGAACGCTGTAAACGGCTCCTGGGTGAAGAAGGCATGAAGGGGTGTGTGTTGGATCATCAGGTCGCATCGCTGCTGTTGGACATGGATTCCTTTGGAGATCCCGTGAATTTGAGACAGGCACAAATTTTGAGATAAGTTCATGAACCTCGGCGGGAGCTGCACAAACAGCCACCAGCAGTAGCAGGAATCTAGAAACACCAAAACGAAAGCGTGTGGCCAACAATTAGCTGTATAGTGCTAAGCAGGGTGCGCTCGATTCCATACAGTGGCAGCCGTCATGCACTGGGCAAGTTTGATACACCTGAAATCACTCTGAAATCGTTCTCCCTGCCCCCCAGTCAGTCAAAAGGCTGATGTGTGGGGGGTCGATCTGCCAAGCAGTCGTCTTTAGGCAGATCCCATAAATCATCATAGATCCCATGGGGGGGCCTGCACCCCATGGTTTCCCCGCTTCATCCGACGATCCGAGCGGCAGGAGCTCCAAGGCCTCCCCCCACGAGGACGAGCCCAGCGACGCCGTCACCACGATGGGCGCCTCGGCGGGGTCGGTCACAGTGGAACCACGAGCTGAGTCAGGTGGGACGAGCAGACGGGTCCGGTCAGACGGGTCCGGTCCCCTGGAGGTTGATCTGGAGGAGTTCTGTGATGGAACGACCGGAACTGCCCAAGAGAGGCGTCAAGCCTTGCCGAAGAAGAAGTGCCGTTGCCATGGGTCGACCACCCGCTGTGCGAAGAAATTGACACGGAAATGCTAGTTCTGACACTCTGGAGCCAATTCGAAGAACTTGCCACGAGGGTCAAACGCGACCCAGTCAACCACCCTACTGTGAGTGAGTGAGTGAGTGAGTGAGTGAGTGAGATTTCGGCCATTCTGTTGACTCACTTGGGGAATTTCAATGGGACAAAAAAATCCTAAACCTTCCATCCAGTCACGAACTCGCTCGTGTCCATCCGCTGTAGTTGCATCTCCTTGAGGAGTTGCATCGCCTGGTCTTCCCGTTGACTCTGCAAGAGCGCACGCACAGTCGACGAGTAGCCCACCAAGTCAGGTGGTAGGTCCTGAGTGCAGCGATTGCGGGTCTGGAGTCTGGAGCAGACTTGTTTAAGGTGCGACTAACAATCGCTGCACTTAGAGTCACTCTCCCTCTATTTCATTCCTTGTAGCAGCCCCATGCCCCATGCAGTCGGTTCATGTCATGTAGCAAACAAACAAACAAACAAACAAAACACATAAACAAATGAGCAAACAAATCCCTCCCAACATTTTGACTGGCGGTTTTATAATAAGGAATGAAGGAACGGATCCAAAGAAATCTCTTTTGGGGAACTCAGTCCATCATTCCGCACTGGGCACCAGTCTCTATTTGGAACTGTTTGAAAAACTCCCCAGTTGGGTGACCGGTGACATGGTTATGTCAGGTGGGGCTCAGTCAAAAGGGCATTGAGTTCCAGCTTTCCACTTTTCCAAAGGTGGTGATGACCATCCCAGTTACGAGCTTGGGTGGAGATTGTGGACGCTTTCATTTCGTTCGCGAAACGACAGAGAAAATCATAACAAAAGTAAAAAATGATCCTGGCTGGACTCAAGCCCTCGGGAAAACCAACGCCTTACCCACGCCACAGGACTGCTCACCCGCCCACGCATGCACTCACTCAACGTACTGACTCGCTGACGGATTGCCTGGCTGACTGACTGTTGACTTATTGAATTACTTACTTATTTACTTACCTACCTAGCTACCTACTTACTTGCTTACTTACCTACCTGCCTACCTACCTACTTACTGACTTACCTTACTTTACGTTACAGTATTTCTACCGTTGTTCGACTGACTGACTTACTTGCTTGCTTACTCGTGGAAAGGCTTGGTCATCTTGTCACAGCAAAGCACGTTGGAGCAGCCTTATTTGACTCACTGCAAAACCCTGAGCCCAAGCTCACTGATCCTTGGCGGTTGTACCGACATCACCCACGATCGCAAGGTGACCAACCCTGTCTGTGTCTACACCCCGCCTCTTGGGTCATTTGCTGCAGGTAGGTCAAAGAAGCCTTGGATTGCTGCCCAGCTCACCCAATAACATGAGAGCAAGCCAGGAATTGTTATGTCACGTCCCATCAGGAGAGAAGTCCTGGCTCTTTCAAGGAACGAACAAAAACCCATTTACATCTTCTCCCTTGCTTCACCAACCTGGTTGCTACAGCAAGCTGTGTGAATTGTATGAGGCAACATCCACTGCCAGGAACACGACTAAGCACAGACAAAGGTGAGGTGCTTTGGGCATTTTTGTGCAGTCAATCCCCTGTACGCCTCTACGCTCTTTCGTCCCACGTACGCCCAGGTAGGCATGGGGACTGTGGGGACTGTCCTACAGACCTGCAAATCCAAAGGGTTTGAGTCTGAGTGTTAGCATATCGATGAAGGAGGATGTATCTCTATACACACACCTCTGGTGCGCAATTAAGGTGATTCAGGGCAGGCGAGCATCAACTCTATATGAGGTTGAAGTATCAAACAGCCGGGCTGAATTCTCCGACCTGTGGGGCAAAAGAAAGGAAACCAATATCCAACAAATTTGGATGAACAGCGAACCCAAGTTGCACAGGAACAAACAAAACTTCATAAACATGACCCAACTTCCATCCCTGCATTTCACAAAGCTCCAGCCGCTACAGCGTGAACACCTTTCGACTTCTGTGGAGATTAATTTGCTCGTGTTTCTGCTAGGGTGTCCTAAAAGGACGTCAAGGGCTCTAAGGTCGACCTGGAAAATTTGGCATGTTTCTTAGCGCAACTCCGAGTGTCTAACTGGATCGATTACGCTGACAGTGATGTGTGTTGGCTCAGTTTGGTGGTTAAAATGATGGCAAGACCTGTTGGCAGTGTTCTCGGCGCGCGTGCAGCTACATGGATGGTGTCTCCAATAATGGCGTGCTTGCGGTGAATGCTTCGTGCATGTTTCGTGCCACAGGGATGTTGACTGTGGTTGGTATGACTTGACCAGGCATTACCTCACAGTTTATGTTTACGCTGTGGTTCCAAAGGATGCTTTGATGCTGCCTTTGTCTTTGTGCCCACTCAAACCGGCAGCGGCCAGTTCGCCCGAACGAATTCTCTTGCTCCCCATGCTTAAGGCTATCAGTACGTCTCCCATGTGGCTGTGGCAGCCAATGCAGAAATGCAGTGCTTCTGCATCATCGTCCTTCAACAGCTCCTTTTTGCGGTGAAACTTGGTTGTGCTTCGAAGGATGAGCAGACTGGGCGGCTAGGATTGCATGATCCCTCAAGCTAAACCCCCTTGCTCCTGGGGGGTCTGAAGATTGGATGATTGATTGAATGATTGATTGATTGAATGATCAGGTAGGGGATGAAGTTCTACAACTCTTTTGTATGACCTGGTGACCTGGTGACCTTTTCGGGTCGCCATGCGGCCATGTTCAATTCTTTTTCCAGTGAGTCGCATTGAACACTACCCCTTTTCTGGAAAAACATATAACAAAACGAAGATCTTCCACTTAGCATCTGGGAGACTCGGGGTATGTCGACTCCTTGACGACATATTTCTTTCCCATCCTACTGCAACAGGTTTGATATCCAACGCCATGGAGGCCATTCATATCGATCCATCCGCGCCAAGATCCCACGACCCGGCGATGTCCGTTCGTGGGCATCGGCGGTGAAACCGCCTCCGCCTCCTGCCTCTTCGCTGAAACCGTCGAGTCCCACTGAGTCGAGTCCATTCGAGTCCAACCTGGAGACCCACTCAGCTGCCAAACATGCGCAAAAGCCTGCCAGGAGGCCAACCATGCGCTCGCGCTTTGGCAGGCACCAATCAAAGGATTGTAAGCTTCTCGATGTGGTTGCAACCACCTAAGCAAGGAACCAGAAACAAAGGACCTCTTTACCGGAGGTAACCGAAGGTCACCAGTCTTAGGTGAAGATTGCTGGAAGTGAGAAATAGTTTCATCTCTGGGGGCGGGTTCTTAAATGCGAGGACTCGACGTAGATGTGGTTTTCGCTTCTTAACACATGTGGCACTGGACACCCGGAGTCCAAGGCTCTGAAGAGACTTGCCATCATTTTTCGTACATTGCGCGGGGTTGGATCCATGTCGTTGCTTTCTACTTGGGGTTATTTTGATCCGGGTGTTGCTGCGAATCTTGGGCTTTCTTGGTGTCCCGCGGACCCGTCGGGGACCCGTAGCCTTCCGGAAACAAAAAGAAAAACTGCTGTATCTTGTAGACGCCGGAGCACTGGTGTTCGGGTGTTTTTTTTTCTGATGCTCTCCCCTCATGGCTGTGAGCAACGGAAAATATCTGGCATCATCAGCAAAGCAGTTGTGTAAGTAAGTTGCACCACTTTAAATCTGAAATAGTGGCAACTGGATCCACCTGGAAATCTGTCCCAAAGAGTAGGACAGTAAATGCTGGTGCGAGAGCAACATTGGAAGAAACAAACAACGTTCAAAAAGACCCCTTATAACGAACCCCCTCGGCACAATTATCACATGTACCAGCAGTATCATTTGCTATGAAATGCTCTTTTGTTGCAGCAGCTTGCGCCGATATAAGACACAGAAGTGAACTGTATATATATATATATACTTCAGGAGGAAGAACGTGTGTAACAACGTCGCTCGAGAAACTCATTAACATGACTTCTCTTTCCCAATTGAATTCCGGCAGATTAATGTCCACCCAGAACACAATCAGAATTTACTTCGGGGTGGAAATTAATCCGCCGGAATTCCACTGCGATCCCCTGTAGGATTCTAAGGCGAAAGGATGCCGAAAGGGCTGTAGGTCGGTCATGCATTCACACTTTTTGTTACCAATTTTTGTCGTTATGCTGCTATACAACTATATACATACAAGTATAAACCCATATGAGCCATGTTTACATCCCCTCAACACCCTTGCTCAAATCCCAGTTGGCATTGGTGGTGAACATTTGTGAGGGTAGGGGTCTGACTGAGGTTGGCATGAAATCCAATAAGCACATCTGCGGGTGGCCATCGTGGTCGCATCTGTTCGAAGATCTCTTCGGCCAGCTTCCACTGCTGCCCATCTTCGCAGGCGCGGAGCACGCCTGAGCACGTCCTGAGAGATGGTCCAGCGGCGAAGCGGCGCAGCGACGCGAAGCCGAGAGGCTGAGAGGCTGAGAGGCTGAGAGGAGAGATAATACTAGTACTAGTAACAAGAAGGTACTAGGAGCAAAGGACGAGTAGCGATGGCCTCCAACCTGCTTGCAATGGCCTCCACCCAATAGCAATGGCCTCAATCTAATAGTGACGGCCTCCACCCTAGTAGCAATGGCCTCCAACCTAGTAGGGACGGCCTCCACCTAATAGCGATGGCCTCCACCCTAGTAGCGACGGCTTCAACCCTAGTAGCAATGGCCTCCAACCTAGCGACGGCCTCCACCTACTAGCGATGGCCTCCACCCTAGCAGCGACGGCCTCCACCCTAGTAGCGACGGCCTCCACCCTAGTAGCAATGGCCTCCAACCTAGTAGCGACGGCCTCCACCTAATAGCGATGGCCTCCACTCTAGTAGCCATGGCCTCCACCCTAGTAGCGACGGCCTCCAACCTAGTAGCGACGGCCT